CTTATAAGCTTTTTGAATGGCGAGCTCAGCATAGGGGCCACTTTCTCATAATCTGATTCAGAATAATCATTGGAAAACTAGTCCTTGTCGATCCACCTACTCCTTTTGGCTATAACTGACAAATCTTGAGCGCTGAGGATAATATATCAGGACACAGCGATCCGTCAACAGCCTTACTAAAGATTACTGGCCCGAAGAGAGATGGCTTTGTTTTCCAACAAACAGGGTTTGTGTGCTATCCAGTCATTAGGGAACTTTAAGAGTTAATGTGCTATCCAGTCATTAGAGAAATTACACAGATTTTTACTGAATAAATTGCATGGTGGCAAATATATATTTATGTTCAAAATAACGATGTGTAGTGCTTTGCGACGAATGAAATGAGCGCAAGCTGAATTTTAGAAACACAGCTCACGAACATCACAAAACACCGAGACATGGCGAGTGCAGAAGGAAACAAACATCCAACGTCTGATGAATTCGAGTACATGCGTTCACTGAACGCTATGCCGTAAAAAGAAAACAGAAACAGCACAAAATATAGCAAGAATACCAAGACCACCCGAGTACCACTGTGTGGGCATCCCACTAGTGTTACCGGGGGTGCTCCCAGTTCATCAGTACAGTTATACTACACCCTTTGTTCCTGGGCTGCAAACCTCCAGTTAGTACTCATTGTCTGCCTTATTTATGTGTGCCGTTTGTTCGGAGGCCGACCGATTAGCTGTAGGCAGGCATCGCTCACTCGATTTTGCGCAACGCCCGTCGGTTTAGGCAGGGCGAGCAACATGCGCTGCTTATTAGATTTTATTTTCTCGCTTGGTCGCATACAAGTCATTTGAAGGAGGAACTGTTATGTGGTTACGAAGAGACGCGCCAAGCATCCTTTTTCTGATTGTTCTATACGTCACAACAAACCCAGCTGTTCGGCTTTCATCTGTGATCAAGCAAAATACAATTCAAAAAACATCTAAAATTACGTTAATACTTGCTGAAGGTAAATTGACTAGGGCAGAAATGTAGTAGAGCCGTGCTGTGCACATCGGAGCATCCCAGAAATCCTATTAACAGCGACTTCCCACCCGATTCTGTGTGAGATCTTAATACAGTGTTTATGTTGTGCGATAAACTGAGTTTATTTAACCCGAAAGTTTCTTTTTCTGATTCTACAAATAAGGGAAATAATGGGAATCAAGATAATATGGTTGTGGTTGCGCTCACTTTGACGGATTTTCGACAAAGTAAGCTTTGTACACCGAGCAACAAATCTCGCTGCCGATAAAGCAGCAGTACAAGTGTATTCAAAGAATTGATCAATGAGAGCATCACAATAAACGAATTGGCGACGCCGGTTGACGTAAAACGTGAGAACAGAACCACAAATATTTGGCCTGTGGTCGGAACAACAAACAAAACTGAAATTTGAAACTTATTTTGAAATTGAATGATTGAGAAAATTCATTGTTTCTTAAAGTTACAGCTCATTAAAAGCCTGAACACCACGTGCCCGCAAATGATTGCGTACGTATGCGTATATCCATGCTTGTACTATTTGTATACGCATTTGTGTATGTGCGTGTATGTGTGCTTATATACGCTCGTGCACGTAGGTGTGCGTGCATGCGTGACACACATGTGTGCACGAATTCTGACTGTGCAAGCGTTTGTGTGCATA